ATGACAGATCATCATAATTTGGTTCCCTGGTTGTTAATTTTAATCTGAGATGCCAAACTCCGGTGCAACGCGTACCCCCACCAAACTCTTCCCGTACCCCTGGGGGTACGCGTACCACACTTTGGGAAACACGGCTGACAGAAGCTGGGACAAGTACTGAAGTTATTTCTTAAAAGGAAGTAGGGAGAAGGAACAAATAGGATTACCACCCAGAAGTAGAAGCATCGGAAATATTTCAGGCCAAAATGCAGATCACAATCCATAAGCTTTTAAGCTACACATGGAGATTGTTGCTATCTTTTGAAATTCTTCAGAAAAAAATAAGTGGGCAGCTGTGTGATGAACAAGAGTTTAAACAAGACTATAAAATGCATGGGAATTGGTCAATCTGTCCAGCACACCATTTATACGAAACAACTCCTATATACTAAAAAAGAATATGCAATGAAATAAAAACTTTGGAACATAGATTTTTAATGTTTTCATTTGCAACCTTTCATTTTTTTTCCCCAGAAACAAGAGTAGTCTCTTCCCCAAATTAGTCAATTGTCAACATTCCTTAGTCACAAACACAAGAGGAATGAGAGAATTTAATTCAATCAGTAAGTAATGGCCTACTGCCAATCCTAAAACTGCTTCCTGCCATTCCATGCAAGAAAACTGTCTCATTCTTTTCTACATGTAAAAGCTCTGCTTTGTTTTTGCTTTTTCTTCAAAGAATAGTAAAGCCTCTTTTAGCCTTCTATGAGTAGTTGACTTGAATTTAATATAAGCATTATACCTTTCACAGAAAAACCAAACTAGCTATTCTTTATTACTTCATGGTGAGTCACTGGTGTGTGTACATAGCAGCTGATCATGTAGTTTGCATCAAAAGCTGTTCTTTCTGAATGTTGTGGGGATACGTTAATATGCTCCATGTAGAAGTGAACTCTTATACAAACTAGATAAGCAAAACTAGATAAGCAACAAATTTTATTTGTTGCTTATCTAGTTTAATTATTTCTCAATATTGTAACTAAAACATATTAAGCTTAGATACTGAGATCTATTAAAACAATCTCTTTCTATAGGCCAGCGATGGCAAACCTTTTCTGGCTCGTGAGGGGAGCGTAGGGGGGTCCTGCGTGGGCATGCCACACCCATAATGCAATGTGTGATCCCCCAGCACACATGCGCGCATGAGCGGCGCTCCTCCCCATTTTTTGCATGCTTTTTTCACCCTCCTCAAGCTCCAGAGGCTTTACAGGAGCCTGGGGAGGGCGAAAACGGCCTCCCCTGCCTCCCCCAGGAGGCCCTCCGTAGGCTTCAGGCACTTCCCTGAAGCGTCCAGAGTGCAAAAAACCGGCCCTACGGACAAACCGGAAGTTTGGAAACGGCCTTCTGGTAGGCTCCGGAGGGCTTAAACAGGCCCTACAAGCAAACTGGAAGGCCGTTCCCAAACTTCCGGTTGGCCCATAGGGCTGGTTTTTTGCACTCTGGATGCTTCAGGGAAGCTCCTCCGGGGGGTGTGTTTTTGCCCTCCTCAGGCTCCTATAAAGTCTCTGGAGCCTGAGGAGAGCAAAAAATGGCTTTAAAAGGCTGAACTTAGCTGGCCAGCGCACACATGCACGCTGGCCAGCTGACAGGGCAACACCTCATGTGCCCTGACAAATGACTCCGTGTACCACCTGGGGCACGCGTGCCATAGGTTCGTCATCCCAGCTATAGGCTATAGGTATTGCTGTAACAAATACAATGTCAGGAATTATGCTCTAAGAGAGCCTTGAAAAATCAATCATTTTTTTTTGCTGCTGAGGTATCACCAGATAACTAATGAAACAGCTAATGAAATATGTCTTTATATATGGTTCTAATATGCTGGCTCAGTGGATAAGATGCTGACCTTATCAATCAGAAAGGTTGGTGGTTCGTGTAATGGAGTGAGCTCCTATTACTTGTCCTAGCTTCTGCCATCCTAGTAGTTCAAAAGCACATAAAAATGCAAGTAGAAAAATAAGGACCACTTTGGTGGGAAGGTAACAGCGTTCTGTGCGCCTTCGGCATTTAGTTATGACAGCTATATGACCACGGAGACGTCTTTGGACAGAGTTGTCTCTTCAGCTTTGAAACAGAGATGAGTACCACCCCCTAGAGTTGGGAACTAGCACATATGTGCAAGGGCAACCTTTACCTACATGGCTCTAAAATTCACACCATACTACAATCCTACTTAAGCTGGTAAAAATGACGGAAAAGCATCAGTTCTTATGAATAATATAATGGAAAACATCTTAGTGTATCCAACACTCCACAGCTAAGTGGCAATAAAATATTATTTTAAAAAGTGACATTTGTTGAAGGAAGTCATAAAGGGCAAGTTGAAAGTTGAGTCAATGCAATGAAAGCTTTTATACATATGCCAATATGACACATGTATATAATGAAAAGGATCTGCAATTTCATTGTCACAATCTTGGTTCTTTTGATGTCTGTGGCTATAATATTGTTATATAAGGTATTATCATAAAACATGACAGTTTATTAAACCCAGAGAGCATTTATAGGAATCAGACTTTCCTTCACACAAATCCAAATTTGCTAGATCAACTGCTAACATTATTGTCATGTCTGATTACTATAAGCAAAAATGCTCTTGATAGATAGATCATGGCTGTCAGAACTATAAATAAATACAGTGATTTTTATTACAAATTGTCTGGATTTTTAACTGGCATTTCTCGGTAGTTCCGTATGAAGAATTTAAAAATCATTCTTACAACAGATTGTTGAAAAACTAGTGTGAAATATCCATGAAAACCACTTAAAGATAAATTCGGCAAATATAAAGTATTATGTTTTGATCTATATAGTTCACAGACTTAAAACTATGGTTAATAGAAACTTCAAATTTGCTCTCATAAAGTTATAGATCCAAAATACCAATTCACTCAGCAAGTGTCTCTTTATTTTACTACTAAACCTAAACCATTTAGGCTGGAAATACGAATAAAAGACCTTGGCTTTTTTTCAAGATGCCTTTTCAAACTGCTTATTATCCCTTTTTCACATCATTCTCACAGAAAGCAAACTTTACATGAGTGCTGGAAACAGGAATAGATATAATCCTAATCACATAAAGGCTATGCTGCCCGTGTATATGCTATTTGCTTATGTAAATTAATGTAACTGGGAAACTGCAATAGGCCTGAGAACCCGTGGTAGGGATTATCATGTGCACATTATTGAATTTTGTTATTTAACCTATACAAATTTTTGTGCACACAGAATTCCAATATGATCCTGGGAAAAGATACAGACAAATACTACATTTTTGGAAATAAATCCAAAGCATTCTACAACCTAATTTGCAGTTCTGTAACAACCACAGGTCCAATAAACACCTTTCTAATTCTCATCATATTAATAATGCCTGATTAATAACACAAAAGATACTTGTATAAAATTGTTGACATCATTAAAAGAAGCTGAATCTCCAATGTCATCTCAGGCTGATAATGTACCCTCAAATACAATCCTTGGGTGCTTATTTCCCTTCCTGTCTTACCTATTTTTAGAGACTTTTAATTAA